ACTCCACCCGCGCCATCCGCCTGTACCTGGAGCAGCAGGTGCAGTTTTATGAGACGGTAGGTTGGCGTCTCTCTATGCCCCTCCACGACCCCCCCCCCCAACGCCCCTCCATGGCACCTGTGGAAGGGGCAGGCTCATGGCAAGTTGCTGTGACCAGATCGAGTTCATTGCTTGTGTCCTTTAATCAAGAAGGGTAAATTTGGAGCAGGATTCTTTTTGTTATCTTAAATCCATCTGCCTTTTTCTTTTGAATAACACTGGGTTCCAAAAGGCGTCTCTCTGCAGAAAGGGATTGGGTGTGAGTTTCAAGTTTCGAGATCTCCAACAGTCCTCACTGTGGCCCTCCCCACTCCAGGCCTTTGAGCGCAGGGACAGCTGAATGAGATGAGGTCACCCTGCCAGCCAAAGCTCGTCCCCTCCGTCCCCTCCGCTGGGGTAGGAGCCTGGCACCACTCAGGAGGTCACAATGGCCTTTGTGAGCAAGGCATCCCAGCTGCCCCAGGGTCTCAGCAGGGAAAGGAGAGAGGGAGCGAAACCTGGAGGCTTCATTAGAAAAGACTAACGGAAACTTCCTCTGTCAGATGCCTGCGTAGTACTTTGTTGATCAGCGTGTAGGAAAAAACGGAGCTCTGTGGCCTGCAGGTGGAGGCCCCGCCTCTGAGGATAAGCCCTGGGCTGGTATACCTGACCCCTGGGGTGTCATCCCAGATGCCAGGTCCTGGCAAGCAGGCCCTCAGCCACTTCCAGGCAGGCATCATCTTTGGGCAGCGCCGCACCCTCTGTCTGCAGCAGCAGGTTCTGGACGGGCTCTCCAGCGTGCTTGCCTCAGACATATGACCCGAGTTGCCTGCAGGAAGTGTAGGGGCCGAGCTGGCAGGAGGCACCCTCTGAAGCCCGTTTCCCAGCTGTTCCTGGTGTCTGCACTGTGACTGCAGCCATCGCAGGGGCCAGTGCCTTCCGTGGGGTGCAGACCACAGCAGAGCACGCGCTGGTCCGTGAGGAGAGAGTGGAGGGGCAGCTCTGGAGATCTGATAATGCAGACTCAGTAGATAACGTTCAAGCCCAAGTGTGGCGTAATGGTCCGGCATTAAGACTCAGAGTGGAACGCCATCGCTGCTGGGTGGCCTGTTCCTAAGTGGCTGTCCCGCACTGCCACATGTAAGCCTGATGGCTCTATGGCAGATAACGTGGACTCACTGAAATGGGCACATTGTGGCCCTCTTCCATACTGAGTGCCTGCTCCCGGTGTGTAGGACCCAGGATACATTGATAAGGAAGGGGGCCAGCAGGTGGTGTGGTGGCTTAAAGTGTTGTACTCTCACATGGTTGACCGTGGTTTGAGTCCTGGGCCTGGCAGCTTGCTTTCTCACTTTCTCTCGCTCGCTCGCTCGCTCTTTCTCTCTCCAGATTAAGAGATGAATAATAATAGCAAATAAAATTAAAGAAATAAATCTTTAGTAAATGGACCTCTGTGCCTTCAGACCGTGTGTGTCTCCTTGGGAGACGCAGGCACAGACACGAAGTGGCAGCATCTCGTTAGCTCCATAACTAGGGTCTGTCCCATTTCACACCATTGGTCACACACGGCAGGGCATGCCCAGCTGGGGGTTGTAGGGGTTGACACTTGCCCAAGAAAGGCAGGAACTTAGGGCAGGTGGGAGCCCTGAGCACAGGCCCCCCCCTGGCAGACCGCATGTGTACAGATGCAGCTGCCCGGAGGCCAGGTCCCAACTGTGGGCACCAGTGGGAGAAGGGCTTCCTCAGGTGGGGGCACCCATGGGCAGTGTCGCCTGTGGGTGAGGCCTCTCCAGAAGTAGCCTGGAAGGAGAGTTGCTCCCAGAGAGACGAGACACGTAGACCCGGTAAGGCATTTGAGGCATTTATCATGTTTACCTCATACCCACCGTCCGGCATAGAGTCTGTGACACCATCCGGGCATTTTCTCATAGTCGCTCTGTTTCTTCCACAGATTGCAGAGAAGCTGAGGCAGGCCCTCGGCCGCTTCCCGGTGATGTAGAGCAGAACGGGACGTGAAGAAAACTCTGAAGTGCTTCTTTCTGACTTGGGGCAATGCAATTCAAACATTTGTTTTCTCTATTATCAGAAAAAGGAAAGAAAGAAAACCAAAAAGAAATAAGAGTTGAAAAAAAAAAAAAAGTTTACTTAATTAACCAGCCTAAGTGCACCAGTTTTAGGGATGTATTTTTTTGTTCATTTCGACAGCCATTATTTAAATCAATGGAAATCGTGTCTATTTTTGGGAAGTACTTAGTTATCAGAATTTTGAATGGAAAATTAGGGGTTCCCCCCACTGATATTTTACATAGAATTGTAATTTATAAATCACCCACGATCCAGTTCTTACCCAGTGTCAGATAATTAATTACTAATTGCTTTCTTAAAAATACGAAATATGCCGAAATAAAACGATATGTTTGTATATTTTTATAACTTTTTTCCAGTCCTCTGGGGTTCCTGTCCACTTAGGGAAGTCTGCACGTGCTCACCGACACGGTTAGGGCTCGAGTGCTCGCACTCGCATGACAGGGATGAGGAGAGAGCACAGCCCTGGAGCGTGAGCCCTGGGTGCATGGCACGTGTCCCACATCCCCTCAGGGGGTCCCAGCGGTGCAGGAGCTAGTTGTCCTGCCGCCGTCTGCCCTTGGGGTCACTTCAGGCACATCAGTCTCAGTGAGCACAAGCCCCACCCTCTGCACACCCTCCAAATCATGTGAAGGCTCGCGTGTGCTGGAAGGAGTAAGCCGGGGAACACGAGGCCGTGAGGAAGCCCTCCGGCTCTGCTCTTGACAGGGAGCCCTTCTGCTCAGCGGTGTCCGAGGGGGGCCACATGCCGCCTCCAGAGCTTGCTGCCAACCCCGTCCTTTGTCTCGATTGCTCCTCAGCCTTTCTGAGATGCTGGGGATAGCACAGCTCAGCCGTGGTGGACTGTCACTAGCAGGCCAGTTGGCGTTACTCGGACAAGAAGCCCAGCTCAGCTCCTTTTAGGGACTCAGAGGTGGCAGCCTGAATAATGGCCCAGCGCGATGCTCCCCTTGCCTGTACCCTGAGCCTCAGACAGACTTCTGGTCACCCGTACTTCAGTCACTGGCAGAAAGCCATCGGGATCATGGCAGCTGCCAACCCTGTACTCAGACATGGCCTCGCTCACTCCGCAGTGAGCAGTCCGCCTTCACAGTGGCCTTACTGCATCGTCTCATGCTGCCTCCGAGCTTCCCACCTAGATTCCACCACAGAAGGAGAAGGGCTGGGCCAGAGAAAGTGGAGGAAACCAAAAACAAGCGGAGGAGGCCAGGTGAGCGTGAGTGTGCAAGCTTGCCCTTCAGCATCACGGGTTTCGTTCAAGTTTTATAGGTGATTTTCCCCACTTGATTTCTCTTTTATACAATCCCATAGAGCAGCGTTTATGATGCAGCCATTTAATATATGTACAAATTGTAAAGACTATGTACAAATGTTTTACACAAATGTAAGAGCATGTAGAAGCCAACGTATAAATAAATTGTTTAAAAAACTGTACACCCCCCCCCCAACGCCCCTCCATGGCACCTGTGGAAGGGGCAGGCTCATGGCAAGTTGCTGTGACCAGATCGAGTTCATTGCTTGTGTCCTTTAATCAAGAAGGGTAAATTTGGAGCAGGATTCTTTTTGTTATCTTAAATCCATCTGCCTTTTTCTTTTGAATAACACTGGGTTCCAAAAGGCGTCTCTCTGCAGAAAGGGATTGGGTGTGAGTTTCAAGTTTCGAGATCTCCAACAGTCCTCACTGTGGCCCTCCCCACTCCAGGCCTTTGAGCGCAGGGACAGCTGAATGAGATGAGGTCACCCTGCCAGCCAAAGCTCGTCCCCTCCGTCCCCTCCGCTGGGGTAGGAGCCTGGCACCACTCAGGAGGTCACAATGGCCTTTGTGAGCAAGGCATCCCAGCTGCCCCAGGGTCTCAGCAGGGAAAGGAGAGAGGGAGCGAAACCTGGAGGCTTCATTAGAAAAGACTAACGGAAACTTCCTCTGTCAGATGCCTGCGTAGTACTTTGTTGATCAGCGTGTAGGAAAAAACGGAGCTCTGTGGCCTGCAGGTGGAGGCCCCGCCTCTGAGGATAAGCCCTGGGCTGGTATACCTGACCCCTGGGGTGTCATCCCAGATGCCAGGTCCTGGCAAGCAGGCCCTCAGCCACTTCCAGGCAGGCATCATCTTTGGGCAGCGCCGCACCCTCTGTCTGCAGCAGCAGGTTCTGGACGGGCTCTCCAGCGTGCTTGCCTCAGACATATGACCCGAGTTGCCTGCAGGAAGTGTAGGGGCCGAGCTGGCAGGAGGCACCCTCTGAAGCCCGTTTCCCAGCTGTTCCTGGTGTCTGCACTGTGACTGCAGCCATCGCAGGGGCCAGTGCCTTCCGTGGGGTGCAGACCACAGCAGAGCACGCGCTGGTCCGTGAGGAGAGAGTGGAGGGGCAGCTCTGGAGATCTGATAATGCAGACTCAGTAGATAACGTTCAAGCCCAAGTGTGGCGTAATGGTCCGGCATTAAGACTCAGAGTGGAACGCCATCGCTGCTGGGTGGCCTGTTCCTAAGTGGCTGTCCCGCACTGCCACATGTAAGCCTGATGGCTCTATGGCAGATAACGTGGACTCACTGAAATGGGCACATTGTGGCCCTCTTCCATACTGAGTGCCTGCTCCCGGTGTGTAGGACCCAGGATACATTGATAAGGAAGGGGGCCAGCAGGTGGTGTGGTGGCTTAAAGTGTTGTACTCTCACATGGTTGACCGTGGTTTGAGTCCTGGGCCTGGCAGCTTGCTTTCTCACTTTCTCTCGCTCGCTCGCTCGCTCTTTCTCTCTCCAGATTAAGAGATGAATAATAATAGCAAATAAAATTAAAGAAATAAATCTTTAGTAAATGGACCTCTGTGCCTTCAGACCGTGTGTGTCTCCTTGGGAGACGCAGGCACAGACACGAAGTGGCAGCATCTCGTTAGCTCCATAACTAGGGTCTGTCCCATTTCACACCATTGGTCACACACGGCAGGGCATGCCCAGCTGGGGGTTGTAGGGGTTGACACTTGCCCAAGAAAGGCAGGAACTTAGGGCAGGTGGGAGCCCTGAGCACAGGCCCCCCCCTGGCAGACCGCATGTGTACAGATGCAGCTGCCCGGAGGCCAGGTCCCAACTGTGGGCACCAGTGGGAGAAGGGCTTCCTCAGGTGGGGGCACCCATGGGCAGTGTCGCCTGTGGGTGAGGCCTCTCCAGAAGTAGCCTGGAAGGAGAGTTGCTCCCAGAGAGACGAGACACGTAGACCCGGTAAGGCATTTGAGGCATTTATCATGTTTACCTCATACCCACCGTCCGGCATAGAGTCTGTGACACCATCCGGGCATTTTCTCATAGTCGCTCTGTTTCTTCCACAGATTGCAGAGAAGCTGAGGCAGGCCCTCGGCCGCTTCCCGGTGATGTAGAGCAGAACGGGACGTGAAGAAAACTCTGAAGTGCTTCTTTCTGACTTGGGGCAATGCAATTCAAACATTTGTTTTCTCTATTATCAGAAAAAGGAAAGAAAGAAAACCAAAAAGAAATAAGAGTTGCAAAAAAAAAAAAAGTTTACTTAATTAACCAGCCTAAGTGCACCAGTTTTAGGGATGTATTTTTTTGTTCATTTCGACAGCCATTATTTAAATCAATGGAAATCGTGTCTATTTTTGGGAAGTACTTAGTTATCAGAATTTTGAATGGAAAATTAGGGGTTCCCCCCACTGATATTTTACATAGAATTGTAATTTATAAATCACCCACGATCTAGTTCTTACCCAGTGTCAGATAATTAATTACTAATTGCTTTCTTAAAAATACGAAATATGCCGAAATAAAACGATATGTTTGTATATTTTTATAACTTTTTTCCAGTCCTCTGGGGTTCCTGTCCACTTAGGGAAGTCTGCACGTGCTCACCGACACGGTTAGGGCTCGAGTGCTCGCACTCGCATGACAGGGATGAGGAGAGAGCACAGCCCTGGAGCGTGAGCCCTGGGTGCATGGCACGTGTCCCACATCCCCTCAGGGGGTCCCAGCGGTGCAGGAGCTAGTTGTCCTGCCGCCGTCTGCCCTTGGGGTCACTTCAGGCACATCAGTCTCAGTGAGCACAAGCCCCACCCTCTGCACACCCTCCAAATCATGTGAAGGCTCGCGTGTGCTGGAAGGAGTAAGCCGGGGAACACGAGGCCGTGAGGAAGCCCTCCGGCTCTGCTCTTGACAGGGAGCCCTTCTGCTCAGCGGTGTCCGAGGGGGGCCACATGCCGCCTCCAGAGCTTGCTGCCAACCCCGTCCTTTGTCTCGATTGCTCCTCAGCCTTTCTGAGATGCTGGGGATAGCACAGCTCAGCCGTGGTGGACTGTCACTAGCAGGCCAGTTGGCGTTACTCGGACAAGAAGCCCAGCTCAGCTCCTTTTAGGGACTCAGAGGTGGCAGCCTGAATAATGGCCCAGCGCGATGCTCCCCTTGCCTGTACCCTGAGCCTCAGACAGACTTCTGGTCACCCGTACTTCAGTCACTGGCAGAAAGCCATCGGGATCATGGCAGCTGCCAACCCTGTACTCAGACATGGCCTCGCTCACTCCGCAGTGAGCAGTCCGCCTTCACAGTGGCCTTACTGCATCGTCTCATGCTGCCTCCGAGCTTCCCACCTAGATTCCACCACAGAAGGAGAAGGGCTGGGCCAGAGAAAGTGGAGGAAACCAAAAACAAGCGGAGGAGGCCAGGTGAGCGTGAGTGTGCAAGCTTGCCCTTCAGCATCACGGGTTTCGTTCAAGTTTTATAGGTGATTTTCCCCACTTGATTTCTCTTTTATACAATCCCATAGAGCAGCGTTTATGATGCAGCCATTTAATATATGTACAAATTGTAAAGACTATGTACAAATGTTTTACACAAATGTAAGAGCATGTAGAAGCCAACGTATAAATAAATTGTTTAAAAAACTGTACAGTAAATTCTCAAAGCACTTTTTCAAAACACTCTGCGGTGTATTTGTGTGATTTTTTCATTGCTACCTATTCCAGCTGCTGAAAGTGATGAAATCAGTTTCCCTGCAAAGCATATTTCTCCTGACATGAATTTAGCTCCTTACCCCCGTGGGACTGGCCCTGCAGGCCTGGGTGTCGTCACCATCCCGGCGGCCATAAGAACAGCTCCCAGTGCCCAGCATCCACCTCCCGCCCACAGCCGCCCCTCAGTATCTGCAGGGGATCTGATCCAAGACCCCCTGCAGATGTCGAGCTCCACAGATGTGCAAGTCCCCATAAGAGGGCGTGGTACCGATGCGTCCCCCATACACTGTCCTTAGTCTCTAGACTCCTTAGAAGTGCTCTTAGCGACAGGTAGGCGCAGAAAGAAAATATGTGACCTTGTTCAGCGTCTCAGAGAACCGTCTCTTCCCCTGCTTTGTAACAATTGGCGTAGCCTACCTGCATCTGTTGCTGGTTGAATCCTCAGATACAAATCTGTGGTACTGGATATGGACAGCCAGCCGCATTCTGATTTAATTACTAGGAGGACGGGGCCAGGAAAATTAGAAAGGAATCCAAGAGAAGCAGGCCAGGTAGCATCAGAATAGCCGTAGTGAACTGTGAACC